GGTTCAAGTGATTCTCTTGCCTCAGCCTCCCAAGTAGCTGGGATTACAGGCTCGTGCCAACAAGTCCAGTTATTTTTTATTATTATTTTATTTTTTTTAGTAATGATGGGGGTTGGAGGGTGGGGTTCACTATATTGCCCAGGCTGATCTTGAACTTGTGAGCTCAAGCAATCCACCCTCCTCGGCCTCAGCCTCCCGAAGTGCTGGTAATATAGGCATAAGCTACCACACCCACCTGTTTCTGCATGTCTAACAAGCTCCCAAGTGATTCAAGCTATCTTCTTAAAGTAGCATTTTACCAAATAATTATTCATAACTAAGAGCATAAGATATTAAATGATTTTGTGTTCTGAAAACAAGTGAAATGATTATTGTTCCTGTATTTTTTTGCCAGGTATTATTAACTGAAATTTTATATCATGTTTTTTTAAAGGCTATTTGTTATGGAAAATCATCTTTCTCAGTTTTTGTTATCATTTTTTTTGTTGTTGTTGCCACTATTGCATCCATTGAAATCCTGAAATTCCTTACAGAGATATAAAATGGTAAGACAATGCTTTATACACCATTGGAATTGGCAAGCCTGGCATCACCATATGATGACAGACTTGAGCAAAAGAAAGCAAGCTATAATTTACTTGCTATAAATGTAAACAAACATGTAAAAGCAATAAAATCGGCCATAGTTAAACGGACTTATTAACATAAAAGAAAGTTGCAAGAGCCAAATTCAGAGTACCTGAATATGCACAATTATTAATAAAATTTCTGGATGGGAAAAAAAAAGGGTCCTATTTTAGATGACTTGGCCACAGCTCTTCAACAGTTAAGAACAATTTTGTAAATATAACATATAGGCTGGAAATACATATACACATTTTATGTATTTTAAATATTTTCATTATTTTACATATTTTTATATATTTTTCCTTATATTTCAAAGGGAATATTTCTAAAGTGTACCTCAAATTTTTTAAAAAATTAAAGTAACAACTCTAAGCAGCAACCGGCTCAATTTAAATCCCATTTGGTGGTCCCAGTATAGTTTTTATATCACACAAGACGCCACCATAATTTGCATCCCATCAACTATTCCCTTAACTCTAAAGAGCTATCATGCCACTCGTAGAGTAGGTCTCTGGGGTTGAAGCCTGTTGTATCCCTCCTACGCTAGATCTATTTGGTAGTAAAATCAGGGTTACTAGCCTGGTGCCCCTTACCTGGGAAAAAAACTCTGTATTAACCCTGTCTTCACTCTTCTCAGAAAACTGATAATAAATTTTGTCCTTTTACTCTCTGCTCTTTTCGATTCCTGGCATTCCAGAAGTTGTTAGACTTGCCTTTCCAGCTCTTCCCTGGCGAGACTAGAGCTGAAATACTGTTCTAATATTCTAAATCTCTTCCAATCTATCTGCGTTGTGCAGTTTCTTTTACATGGCACCTGTTTTGTTAATATTTTTCAAATTATCAAAAGCTATGTATCAGTACATTCTTACAGAATTTCCTTTTTCTTCTTCGGCTTTTTTTTTTTTTTTTT